AGAGAGAGAGAGAGAGAGAGAGAGAGAGAGAGAGAGAGAGAGAGAGAGAGAGAGAGAGAGAGAAGCATAACAGACCATCTCGATGACAATGATGCCTGACTGAATGGAAAGCGAGACTGAGGGGAAGCGAATAGAACGGAAAGGAGAAGAAGGGATACCAAGACTATGTACATCAGCATTGACCTATGTCCCCAATTGTGTTTTTTTTTGGGGGGGGGATGGGGGATGGGGGGGAACCCAATTGTTGTTAGGCTATTTGACAGATATTGCTTTTGAGCTGCAATTGGCAGACGGCTGGAACTCAGGATTTTTAACAGGGCCTCTTAGTTATGGAGGTCCTAAGCGGACAATAACGCAGATAGTTAAAGCAAAGGAAGAATTGAAGAAGAAGAAGAAGAAGAAGGAATAGAAGACGAAGAAGAAGTGACCACTGAATGGGCGGTCAATAACAACGAGTCGAAGCTTTATTTTTCCCCAAAAAGGAAAGCATCTTTTGAAAGCTTCGTTTTTTACTGTCCAGCGGCCTCTACAAAGTTGTTTTCGGCGTAGTGGGAAACAAATACCTCATCGTCGAGAAGCTGTGCGAGGTCGTGCCCGTACTCCTCGATGCAGTCATACTTGGTGTCTTCGTCCAATGTTAACCCCATTAAAGTTGCAACAGCGAATTTCCTGATCATCGCAAATTCTGAGTGGAATGCTTCACCTACGATATCGAGTCCCTTCTCCTCCAGTACCTGCAGCGTGACAAGTCGAATACATGACCACCAAGTCCCACAGCAAGTACCATTACTCATGGGCCCCCTCTTATTTCTTGTTATCATAATCATTCATGGACCCATCACCATTTTCAGTCCACATTCAAGCTGTCATGTGATCCAGTCCCATTGGCTCATAAATCATATGGCCTAATCTAGGCTGTTGTGACACAGCTATAGCCTTGACTTCCATTTTTACCCGAATAGGACGGCAATATCTGGACTGAAAGTTGCCCCAAATAGCGCCATAATGCCCGTATGTCCTATTTGGGTAGAGACGATTGGGCCGATCTACACTTCACTTCGTTCTATGGTTCCCGCTTGTACTATGGTGATGATGGAATTCTCTCCCTTTTCTGATTGGGTCTGTGTCAATTAGTGTCGCATTAGGGAGATTACAGATGTAGTGCTTAGGGTTTGACTGGGATTATCGATTAAGCCAGACCCTGCTATGACTTCCCCCTCCCTCTCATGGTGCTGAATGGTCCATGTAGCGGTAGATGAGTTGAGCAGGGCAGGGTAATGATGCTAGGGTTTCGATGAGCAGTAACAATCCCCTCGTATGAGAGCAATCAATGCCGCTCATCAGTAAATGTCTGCGCATATACTACAAACACATGTCTCTTCAAACAAATGATTACAATTGTTCAGGGACGCTGGACCCGCTTTCCAGCAGGTGTCCGTTCCCACCAATAGATGGAGCCTCCCCGAGAGTGCTAGTGGTGTCTGCTCCTATCAGCACCCCTAGCATTAGCTTGGGCTGCTTTTTTTATTGAAAAAAAAAAAAAAGGAAAACCGTTGTTCTTGCGTTTTTTTGTTTTGTTTTTCCCTTAAAGGCTTAAACGCAAAAATCGGCTGGTGGTGCTATCAGGGGTGATAAGAGCAGCCCCCGACTCGGATAGCACCCCCCCCAGATGGCTCCTATCTATTGGTGGGGAGCTACACCTGCTGGAAACTGGGTCCAGCATGCCAATAACCTGGAGAATCCCTCACACCAGCAAAACTCCCCTGCCCCAGCACACAGAATAAGCAAATGATGGAGCTAGTCTCTTTCCCCCTTGTATCTCCCCCCTACTGCTGGGTCCCACTAAGCTCTGGACCCCAAAGGGTGTGCAGAAAAGTGTATGGATTGGCGCCAAGTTTTTTTTTCAGACCCCACAGACCGTAGGGAGCGGCCAGGAAAACTTTGGGAGGACGTTTCCACATAGCGTCATGATGGGAAATTTCTCAGTGGCTCTCCAATTTTCGAAATATTTTGGCAAAACAACATGGTAGCCCCCAGGCTACCCTCTTGATTCAGCCATCCCATGCGGAAAGGAGGCACAGTGATTGGACGGGGTGCTGAACAAGAGGAGGTAGGTACACTTGCCTGAGAGGGCAAGTCTTCCTGATCTGGTAACCTAAACCTGCGGCCGTGCCGAAATCTGCTGTGGTGGTGGAACCCCTTTTCTCTTGCCCATTCCGGTCGGCTACCATTTGCTCCAAGCTACCGCGCGCCTGTGGGGTCCAGCCCTAAGTGTCCATAGCCCGCTCCTCCCTCCTGCTGACATTCCAAGGGTTCTGCTGAGTGTCTGGAGCCCGCTCCTCTCCCCTATTGCCCTTCCTTGGGGCCCACCTGGCCGGCCGCATCTCTCCTCCCTGTACTGACACCCTGGTCGGGTGGCCCCTCCATCCATATGTGGGTAGTGTCTTGCGGGTGTCCGTATCGGGTCCTTGCATTTTATTTACTTTTCCAGTACCTTTCTCAGCTATGGATGTCGAGCCTAAAATCGCCCTGCGCGCCACAAAACGACAAGCCGCACGACCCTCATTTTGGCTGGCGTCGCCAGCCATGCCGACGTCGGGCGCATATTTGTTTTTCCCGACGGGGAAAGGTAAGGCCTGCCTAACTGCGGCGCAGGACTCGAACGCACGACCTGTTTATTACATTTACACGTTTTTACCATTTAGCAGGAACTCACGACTTGTCTTCTGTCCGACACTCTGCGGGTGCCCGGGGCTAGGTCCCACCTACACGAATTAAGCGATATTGACCGTAGATAGCAAAGATCAACGGCCAGATTTTCGTAATCCGTGCAAGTGGGACCTTGCCCCCGGCCTGGGTGAACAGCTGAGTGTCCACACGCTTTTCCAGGGTTCCCGCCACGTCGGCGAACAGGGTGAGCGGCGGATCTGGGTAATAGCTTAGTGGTGGACACGTGTCTCGAGTGATTGGCCTCCACGTTGGAGACTGTGCCTAGCGGACGCGAGAAGCAGACGTGCAACAACGAAGACTGTCCGATCTTTCTCCCCTACCGCTCGATAATGTGCAGATCAGCGTGATTAGCGAAGCATCATCGTCGGTAGCAGCCATGTACCCTTCGTCGTTTGTCTCCCCCATCGAAGAGAATAGCTCCGTCTTCGTCCTTCCTCCTCCCTCCTGCCTTCCTCCTCCTTCTCCCTCCTTCCTCCTCGTTCTTCCTTCCTCTTCCCCCCCCCCCCGCGAATCATCATCAGCCCAATCACGCAGGGGATAGATCGGCGTGATCAACGGAGCATCCTCCTCCTTCCTCCTCCTTCCTCCTCCTTCCTCCTCCTCCTCCTTTCTCCTTCCTCCCTCCTCCTCTCTCCTTCCTCCTCCCTCCTTCCTCTTCCTCCTCCGTCTCCTCCCCCTTGTCGTTGCGGCTACGAGCTGGTCAAGCCGCGTGTGGGATCGCTTGCGTGACAGTTACGTATTTGGATACATCTGTAGATACTAATTAGGAAAAAACAATAGCTGATTGATTGATTGGTTGATCGAGTTGGGGATGATTTGATCGATCGATGGAGCGATTTATCGATGGATATGAAGGAATTGCTTGACTTGATTGAATGATAGAGGTAGGTGCATCATTCATCGTGATTATGATTGCAAGTGAAGATTGGAGGAATGGGAAGGACGAGGAAGACAGAGCTGAAGCTGCTGCATGCAGCAGGCGTGGGCTCGCTTCGGCGAGTGAAAAGACTTATTCCGGACGATGATGATGACGACAGCAGTGTTGATGAAAGCAGCGACAGCAGTTTCTCCTCCACTTCCACCTCCTCCCCCTCCACGTCATCGTTCTCCACCTCCCCTTCGTCCTCCCCCATTCCCACCTCCACTTCCTCGCTGTCCACCTCCCCCTCCACATGCAGCGGCAGCCGCAGCAGTGAAAGCTGGAGCGACTTGAGCCTTGCTGACGTGTACAGTACGACGAGTAGCAGTGGGAGCGGCGATGACAGCGATCACCGGAGAGGAGGTGGAGGCGGTAGAGCTGAAGATGGGGAATCGGATATGGCGGAGGGGAAGGAGAGAGGTAGGAGAAGGAAGAGAGTCTGTGTGGGCGAGAGAGAGAAGAAAACTCAGAAAAGGGAGAAAAGAACAGAGAAAGACAAGCGTAGAAGTAAGAGTAACGCTGCCGTTGCTGCTGCTGCTGCTGTTCGTGGCTATGGTGGCTATGGTGGCGATGGCGGCCAGCTTGATCGGCAGCAACGAGAAGAAGAACACAGAACTCGAAAGCGAAGGAGGAGAGAGTCGGATTCGAGCGAAGAGATAGGAGCTCACAGGAAGGAGAAGAGGAGGAGGAGGGAGGTGGGTGTGGAGGGGAAGGAGGAGGGGAAAAGGATGAAGAAGATGGATGACACGTCGACGAAGAAGAAGAAGCAGAAGAAAGAAGTTGAGAAGGGGAAGGATAGGGATAGGGATAGGGATAGGTTTGTCGTATCTGGGAGGAAAAGAAAGGATATGGTGGGGAAAGAGAAGAGGAAGAGGAAGGGGAGCAGCAATGGTACGACCAGCAGCAGCAGCAGAAGCAGGAGGAAGAGGAGGAGGAGGAGGAGGAGGAGGAGGAGGAGGAGGGAGAAGAAGAAAACACTCCAGCACAAGCTACACGTGGACGTGAATTGCACCGACGTGGAGGGTTTGACACCATTACATCATGCTTGTTACGTAGGTGCATTGGATCTAGTCAAGTATTTGCTGTATTGTGGTGCTGACGTGGCAGCACGTGATAGGAAAGGAAACACGCCGCTCCACGTGGCGGCCCGGTTGGGCGAGCCTAAGCTGATTGCCCTTCTGAGAAAGGAGGGAGGTGATATGGGAGCGAGGAATGGGAGAGGAGAGACCCCAGAGGACATCGTGGGAGAGAGGCTGTCTAAAAAGTGTGAGAGATTCGCTCGCGGATCGCGATTTGAAGATCCGGATCGGGACGGTTGGGAGGCGAAGTTGGAAGCTGAGGCGAGCGATGACGAGGGAGGGGAGGGAGGAAGAAGAGGGAACAGAAGCAGCAGCTGCCTCTGGGGGGTGGGGGAGGATTGGGAGAGAGGAGGTGGTGGTGGTGGTGGTGGTTATCAGTGGGGTGGAGCGGACGAGGATGATGATTTGCTGACTAGATTTGCTGATTTTGGCGGGAATCGACATCGACGTAATGGAGGAGGAGGAGGAGGAGGACCGGATATGGCGAAGAAGATAGCGGAAGCGATAAGGAAGAACAAACACGTGCAAGCACGAGCTATGGAGGAAGCAGACGCGAAAATGAGAGCGGCGATGGCAAGGGAGGAGGAGCAGAGAGAGAGGAGGAGGGAGGAGGAAATGAGGAGGAAAGCGTACTTGGAACGTCAGGCGGAAGAGAAAGAAAGGAGAGAGAGGGAGAAAGAGGAGAGAGAGGAGTTGAAGAAGGAGAGACGAGGGGGAGGAGGGAGTTGTAGGGAAAGGAGAGAAGGAGGAGGAGGAGGAGGAGGAGGAGGAGGAGGTCGGGGAAGAGAGACGGACCCGTCGCGAATCCTTGAAGAGGAAATCGCCAAGGATAAAGCATGGAGAGAGAGGGTGCTTGGCGGGAAATGGCTCCAGAAGAAACACAGATATGACGTGGAGTGGGTCCGATTCTCTTCGTCTTGTAACATGTGCGTTTGCTATGGGGATGTGCCTTTTCCCATCGACGAAGGAAAGGATAAAGATCTGGATAAGGTGCTTTTGCAAGGCGTCGAACCGTCAGATCAGAAGAAGAAGATCAGGGAGGAGGTGGTGAGGTGGCACCCCGACAAATTCATGCAAAGATGGGGACAAAGATTAAATCCGGCTGATAGGGAGAAGATTCTCGGAAGAGTCAAGGAAATCTCGCAGGCAGTGCACGATATCTACGCGAAGATATCCTCCGCCTCTGCTGTTGCTGCTGCTGCTCCTGCGACAGCGTCTGCTGCTGCTGATGATGACAATAAAGATTGAGTTCTTTTTTTTTTTTTTTTTGTCAAGATTGAGGAGTATCAGCAGTAGCAGAAACGGGATTGATTTTATTTTTTTTTATTTTTTTTTGAAGAGAGAATTTGTGTACAATAATTGAGAGGTTCCCGTGAATGTGGAACACCTAGCAAAGCTTCCTTTTCTTGGAATGACTAATTAGTTTTTTTTTTGTTTTTTGGTGGGGAGGAAGAAGAATTGGGGGGATGCGGGGGGTTGCAGGCTGATACGTTGCAGTCTACACAATGACGATGATAAAGTGTAGAGCCCGCCCTCCCCCCACCTGGTGGAGGGGATGGGCCTTTTTTTTTTTTTTTTCATAAGACCCCTTTTCATTCCGATCTTCCATGCAATCATCTGCCTAAGTGGCATGCTAGGGGTATATGTATGGGGTTGCGAATGTTTCATCTGGTGTGGCCTCCTGATGAGTCGGTGAAACTCCGACGAAGCAGTTTGTCACAGCCCCTCGTTTGTTGTCCGCTTCTCTCTCTCTGCCTACGGTTTACCGGGCAGTTCTGTTTGTGACGATATATTTGGTTAAGGTAGATTATCATTTACAGTGTAATCAGTGAGGGGATTCTGCAGACTGTTGAGGGTTCAGCCTCCTGATGAGTCGGTGAAACTCCGACGAAACAGTTTGTCACAGCCCCTCGTTTGTTGTCCTCTTCTCTCTCTCTCTGCCTACGGTTTACCGGGCAGTTCTGTTTGTGACGATATATACACAGGGGGCCCACCTCACCACCTCCTCCCTCATATACACAGGGGGACCACCACCTCACCACCTCCTCCCTGATCTTCTTCTTCTTCTTTGGTGCATTGTAATGATTACACGTGGCAAATTATCTATATGTTTGCGAATGATTTCAGCTGAAAATCAACTGAAAAAGACAAAAAAAAAAAGACAACTGTCGGTCATAAGGACCTGTTTTTGTCAAAAAAAAAACAAAAAAAAAACTCTCGGGAGAAGTAGCTATGAAATATTGCTGACCCCCCCTCCCCCCCCCAAAAAAAAAAAACAAAAACAAAAAAAAACAACGAAAAATTGCTACCGATACTAGTCTTCTGATAGTTATTAAAGAATTATAGCTGGGACCGATCCAGGTAACCAGTTCCACCACTACCCCCACCATCACCACCAAGGCCAGCAGTGCCAGCAGTCCCGTCACTGAGTTCCAGCAGTACCAGTACCAGCAGTCCCTGTAATGAGTTCCACAAGTACCAGTACCAGTAGCAGTACCAGTACCAGCCGTTGCGGCAATGACTTCCACCAGTAGCAGTACCATTAACAGCAGTCCCAGCAGTCCTGGTAGTGAGTTCCACCAGTACGAGTTCCAGTACCAGTACCAGTACCAGTACCAGTACCAGCAGTCCCAGTGACAAGTTACGCCAGTACGAGTACCGGTACCAGTACCAGTACCAGCGATCCCGGTAATGAGTTCCCCACCACCAGCAGTACCAGCAGTAGCAGCAGTAGTTTTGATCCTAGCAGTGATGGTAGTCGGTAGTGGAAGTAGCGGTAGTCGTAATGGTTAAAGTAGGCGTATTTCTTCTTTACCGCAATTTTTCCAGCTCGTAGATGCGCAATATGCCTCATGGCTCGCAGGCATGCCTCCAGTAACGCCCAGTGACTTCCATTCCGCCGAATGCTTGCGTGGATTACTCTGACCTGCAGGTGCTTCATGTCAGAAACTATGTGACAGCAAGCAAGCAAGCAGGGACACAACATGGACCAACTGCTACAACAGCAGCAATAAAGAATGAAAAAAAGAAAAAAAGAAAAAAAGAAAAAAAGAAAAAAAGAAAAAAAAAGAAAAAAAGAAGGAACCACCAAATGCAAGAGAAACACAGCAGCAATGATGGATCCAGCAGTCACAAAGTTAAGGTCAATGTGGTGTGGCAATGTCAACAGCATTGGCGGCAGCAAATGACAAACTGCAGCAACAGCAGCAGCAGTAGCAGCAGCAGAAGCAGCAGCAATGACAAAGTACAGCAGCAGCAGCAGCAGCAATGACAAACTGCAGCAGCAGCAGCAGCAGCAGCAGCAGCAGCAGCAGAAGAAGAAGAAGAAGAAGAAGAAGAAGAAGAAGAAGAAGAAGAAAAAGTGGTGACAGCATCAGAAATGACAAGCACAGCAACAGCAGTAACAAGAAGAAGAAAAAGAAGAAGAAAAGGAAGAAGAAAAAGAAGAACAAGAAGAAAAAGAAGAACAAGAAGAAAAGAAGAAGAAGAAGAAGAAGCCAGCATCATTAAACCACCAGTACCTCTAAGGCGGATTTTCCCTGGCACTGAAAGAAAATGAACTGCCATGGAGGCATTTTCGTTTTTGTTTTGGCTGGCGCAGCCATTTTGGTCCGATAGCACTGTTTATCTGAAGGACGTGGAATATCGCATTTTCGGTTCTCAAGTTACCGACTACTCAATGGCAAAAGGAGGACAAAGAAGAACAGACGAGCAACAGCGGTGACATCAACATTACTGACAAGCACAGCAACATCAGTAAGTAAGTAAGAAAGAAGAAGAAGAAGAAGAAGAAGAAGAAGGAGAAGAAAGCAACGTGAATGCGAGGAGAGGAGGATGAAGAAGAACAAATGAAGAAGAACAAATGAAGAAGAGTGATCACAGCAACGTAAATGACAAGTGCAGTAACAGGTGTTGCAAGAAGAGCGATGAATGACAAAGCGGAGGAAGAGGAAGAATGAACAAAAAAGAATGGTGACAAGACATAAATGACAAGCGCAGCAAGAGCAGCAGCAAGAAGAAGAAGAAGAAGAAGAAGAAGACAGCAACATGAATGACAAGCACAGGAGGAAGAAGAACAGACGAAGGACAGTACGGACAACAACAGTAATTAGCAGCACAGCAACAGCAGTAGCAACAAGAAACAAGAAGACAACGACAACGACGAAGAAGAAGACAAATAACAGCAACAATGGTACAGCGATAATTATGGCACGAGGAAAAACCATGGAAAGCAAGCAAGCTTGTCGGCATCAGCACTTGTGAATAGCAGGAGTGGCAGCGGCAAAGCAACAGCTCTGCAGCGGCGGCTATAACAGCAACAGCAGCATGACTGGTAATGGAAAGGAGAGAAGCATGAGAGTACGGAGCGGCATCGTCAGCGATAGCTGCAATTGCCACAATGGCGGCAATAATCGTGTCATCAGCAATTGGAGCAATAGCAACAAGAGTGGCTATGGCAGTGACAGCACCCAAACTATCCATTTCATAGAAGCAATGGCGAGCATAGCGCCAGCATCAAAAGGATGACAGTGGCAGTGGTAGTGACACCGACAGCCATAGCTACCATAGCTATAGCAGCAGCAGCAGCAGCAGCAGCCAGCAGCAGCCAGCACCGACCAGCACCAGCATTAACAATGACAGAGGCAATACTGGCAGCAACGACAATAGCAGCAAGGAGTCCTCCCCCCCCCCCCCCCACACACACACACCAAATAAAACAGGTCCTTATGGATGTGGCTCCATTTCCATTCTGGGGAGCATTCGTCCGGTTCCTATTCCACCAGCAAGTCAGGATAACATATAGTATATTACATCATGAAACACACTCAACGCTTCCTTCCGTATGGCCGAAGGAACCCTGACTAGCATTGATTACTCCAACATCGTGGAGGATCGACCGTCAGCTCGTCATACGTCGACCTTTCCTCTCTGGTCCACTCCCTGAACAGAGCTACTGTGTGCTACTGCTGCTACTGCATGTATCCAAATACGTGACGGTCACGCAAGCGATCCCCTACGCGGCTTGACCAAGCTCGTAGCCGCAACGATGTATTCAAATACGTGACTGTCACGCAGCCGATCCCCTACGCGGCATGACCAGCAGTAGCAGCAGTAGCTCGTCATATGCCAGATCAATCATACAGAGCAAGAAAGGTATAGAAGCTATGGAAGATGCATTCTTTGGATTAACCCTTCGCCCAAATTACATGGCGTGTGATGATACATCTTGTACGTCTCTGCTGTCTGGGATCTCTGCCTTCTCCACCCTGCTTCTGAGTTGTGCCAGTCTTTCCACCGTATGCGAACGTCGTTTATCTCTGCTACTTTGCCCCTTGCAAGCCACACCTCAGTTAATTTTGCCTTGATTCTTCTGTGTTGCTCCTCGTTGTCTGGCGCAGAGTGTCTCGTCGTATGCCACTGATAAAGAATCTCTGCTCTGAATCAAGGTTCTTGTCTCCACCCATACCACCTTTCTCCCTTGGGGTTGAGATTCCCTCAACGGTTCCGTTCTGCAGCACCTTGTTTGCCCAGGCTGCCCGGCCGTCCAAGGACATGCAGAAAAATGAACTGGACAACTTTTGCCTCAGGGTCAGATCGAAACTCTTTACCAAATTAAAAAAAAATAAAAATTAAAAACAATTCTTATTTTATTTATTTTTTAATAATTTTATTCTTTTTGGCCTGGCCGGGCAAGTGGTCCCCGGTCACTCTGGTAGCCTAGACCGTGACTATGTTTCCTGAACCTATTTTGGCAAACCTGTTGTTTGTCTGACCCTGACTTGCAGAGCTGGCACATGTGAGGCCTGTCTTTCTTTTCTTTTTTTTTTTTTTTCTTTTTTTTTCGGCAGGGGGAGTGGGGG